GCCAAAATCATTATGAAGTGATGATGGATCATTTGTTTTTATCTCTTGGAATAGTTCTTTATCAAAGTCAGCTTCAGAGATCAAAAAGCTTTCATCAATACCGTGCAAGAGAGTGGAAATATGATTTATTTTTACGATAAAGGACCTAATGGATGGACTCAGTAGCAGGCAGGATAGACCATTTTCATATAATGTAAACAACTGTGTCGATAACATTACCTGTGAATGTCCATAGATTTTAGTCAAAAACATGTTGTTTTCTGGAATAAAAAAGTTTGGACACACTCCCTCATACACCCAATTAAGAATGAGCTTAAAGCAAATCCAGAAACACTCCAGGAGATTTTGTGGGTTCCATTGCGACATAATGTTTTCTTGCAGCATCCAGAAATTAGCAGTATTTACGTGATAGGAACACAATAATTTACTTTCATCATTTAATTTGAAGTTTATGACTTCATTTAAAAACAGTTTCAGCAAGCCATAACTTAAAAATTGGCAATGGTTCATGGTATGGACGAGCCTTTTTTCTGCCTTCGAAAGGGATATCCTCCATTCATTGTCTTGATGATTTCCTAGACGGTATCCTACTGCTACAACATGACATCCACTAGTGATGATGTCATGAACAACACGAGGTTTTGGCCACGAGTGACTGTGACATCTGTCTATCCATGTAGAGGCAGATGGAGGCCAAAAGTCATAAGCAAAACAGTTGGCATGATCAAAATCAAAATGCTTGGAAACATGAAAACTACATGGTCCATGTATTACAGAAGCAGATAACACTAAAGAGGACACATACTCTTTGTGTAAACAACTTGATACATAATATCTATCATTCATTCTGATACAAGAGAATAAAATATTATTTGATAACCATGTATTAAGTTTTGGTAAGCAGAGTAAAGTGTAGCCTGGTGGGCTATCAGAACTGTCTGCAACAATTAGCCCACATTTTCGTACATTGTAATACTGGACCTGAGATAAATCCCAAATCACTCGATGATTATTTGGCCAATTTATGATATCCACATCGGAATCGTTAAGCCTGAATCCTTCGCCGCTGCTTCCACTTATGCAAGATGACACAACAATAGCCCTGGTATGATTGTCCAATATATTGACAATATCCAGGAGATCTCTCCTCATCGCCACCTGGTGTGGAGATCCCACTATTTTATGCAGAGCCCAATAAACAGACACTGAAAAGTGCTGATAACTTCTCTCACTGATAAAAAATGAAATACGTTCATTATATAAAATATATCATACATTTTAAATAAAACGCACTGAGTATTTCACCAGTATATCTTGTTATGTCTCACCTGTTCGAGGTATTGGACGCCATTTTCCTTGTGAAATTGTTCAAATTTTTCAATGTCTATATTTCGAAAGCTTGAATTCTGCTTTCATTATAGATCTAACTTTGAAAAGTATTATTTTTTCCATTATTGAGATACTAATGTATGAATGTATATAAAGGAAAAGTTCATGATATTATTCAAAATGTATACAGTAATATATAGAGACTGCTTTTGCTCCTAATAACATGTACTCAGAGTATGAAATTATGACAATTATGAGAATATGAATATGAATTATAAATCAGAATCCATATTTTACTAATGTGTTGCATATCTTTACAGAGACAGAATTTATTGAGGCATTTAAAGTATGTACTTCATATGCATTGTGAATTTTTTCTGACACTATGAAAAACACTCTAATTTAAGTTTTAGTGTTAAATTTCATCAGCTTACTAAATGGTTGGTCTACAGAAGAGATTTAATTCAGCTGAACATGCAAAGGTTCAATTGGAATTCTCTTATTAGAATTTGTCAATCCATATGTCCATCTGTCAATCCTTAAACTTAATAGATGTATTCAACATCTTGGAATTTTCCAACACTACTAGGGATATTGAAACCGTTATTAATTTTTTTTTAACAAAAAAAAAAAACTTGACCATACAGAAACTATGAAAATAATTGCACACAAAATACAAAGGTTTAACAAGAGAATATAGAGAAAGCCGTTTTTTAAGTCAAAGAAATGCAAGATACAAATATCTTTTCATTTCGCAAGCTTGCCCAGTTAATGATAATACAGATATTAGCAGTAGTGAAGGAGAAACCTCAAGGGTACTGTGCAACAATATATTCAAGAAGTGGTGTAAATCAGATGTGGATACTTAAAAATTCCAAGGAACCTTTGGACAATTTGAAATCACAAGATGTCACCAAATTCTACATTCAAAAAATGTACGTCTTTTCAACTTTATACACAACCATTCCCCACGATAAATTAAAGTCCAGGCATTTTGATATCATTGACAGCTGCTTATTCAATAAAAATGGAACTCGTAAATTTACTTTTACCATGTCATTGGTCATTTGCAAAATTATTTTGTTACAAATCATTCTGATTGTACACACAAGTACTCTGAAGTTGACATCAAAAAGATCCTTGAATTTCTGATTGACAATATTGTGGTAAAGTGTAAATATTTAAAAAGAGTGTATAGTTTTAGTATTTTAGAATTTTTCATTTATTTGACATGCAGATTATTATTTTTGTCTGCTAAATAAGTTTGATATGATTATTTCCAGGAATTAATGTAATTAATTTATTTATATTTCAGCAGTTTATTATTCATTTAAGGTATATTATACTTTAGAAGCTTTAGAATTATTCAGAAATGAATTGAGACATTTATACATGCTTATAGCTAGAAACTTTGAGATGTCAGTGACCTATGAAGTGACCCGACAGTGAGATTTCATTGGTCGAGATTTTGGAGGGAAATCTCTTTGTGGGTAGAGTTATTTTTGGGTAGAACTGGTCATACCAGTCTTTGTGTCCAAGAGGACAGTGTGTATTTCAGTGATTCCCTAAGTTTCCTGTTTTGGGTGTTCAGTTGTATATTCACTTCATCTACATTTTCATGGAGGGTGTATTTAAAGGATCTCAGGTCTGTTGTTATATTATTTTGTATGATTGTGATTTTGTGTGAAAATGAGTGAAAAAGGTGTTAGAATGGTGAGTGAGATTTTGAGAGTTTGTTTACATGTGTAAATGAGAAACATAAATATTTTATATGACATTTCACTCTGATTCAGTCATGAAATTGTATATATGTAGGACTGAGTGAAATGAATAAATAAGTGTAAAGTTGTAAAACTAGTTTTGTAAATGGCTTGTATAACTATAATGTTATTTATCGTAAAATTAGGAATTTTATCTTTTATTTCATATAATTTAAATAATCTTTCCAATTTAAAGCATAGGTATTTTTCATTAAATTAATCAGTTATCATTATTAAAGATTTTTATATCAGCTAAGGGAGATTACTCATTTTTATGCATTCTTTCTAGGACTGACATGCATGTGTATGCATATGTAGTAGTATCTAATATCAAGACCTTTTGACCATATTGAAGATAATTTATGTGTTTTATGTTTGTGTTGTTCTATTATATGTATGTGTTGACAGAACTTTATTTTGAGTATTTGTCTTGCATGTTTACATTTTGTGTTGAATTGAATTTCATTTGTATTCAGTCCAATGCATGAAATCGTATTTCTGTGTAAATGTTCAGTAAGATTATTTGATTCTTAATTGTTTAATATCAGATAACGATTATGATAAATTATTATGATAATCTTTTAATTTAAATTACTAAATTGTCAAAGGAATTATTTTTATGATGAATTGATCTGTGATAAAGAAGTGGTAATTATTTTTTATATAAATTTAATGCAAAGAGAATATGAACTATAAAGTATGAACTTATTATAATGATAACAAATACTATATTGCAGTTGTATATATATATATTTATCTTGTCTAATAATTGTTTTTGTTATTAGAGGGTCTACTACTACTTATACTTGTACTATTAATAAAATCAACTAAAACAGAAACGATGTTGTTATTCCAAGAACCCTGTTACAATATCTATGTTTTTTTTGGAGACCAGGTCTTTCAACAATCTATTGGAATTCCCATGGGTACCAATTGCGCCCCGTTATGAGAAATCCTGAATTTGAATATTCATATGAAGTAGAATTTGTGTAAATTTTTTTGCGTGAAAAGAAGAAAACATTTGCGATGACCTTGAACTCGACATATAGATATATCGATGACGTACTGCCAATTAACAATAATTCAATTTCAGTTGTATCGCGTCATTTGATTCGTTAAACGGTTTTATCCATTTCGTATAACATAACTTGCCTACGTCACAATGAGTTACGTCAAAAACGTATCACTCCGCTTGACGTTACTTTTAAAATTATGCTCACTTTGAAGCCTTTTTCTGGAGGAAACATTGTCTCATTGTCTACACTGAAATTACCGCTTCGCGGTTTATAAAGCGTAAACTGCCCCAAGTTATGTTATATCGGATAACATAAGTTGAAATAAGCTTCATTCCTTAAATGGTAATATCCATTCTCATGTCAATACGATATATCCTAGTGGGCTTGAGATAAAAGATACTACAGAGTCTGACACATCACTTCCATTTTTAGATATTTTTCTTGAAAAAGACTTAATTGTAATCTAACAACCAAGTTCTACGATAAACGTGACTTCTTTTCTAACTTCTCTGCAGCAATATATCTCATCACCTGCATATACGAAGTTTATATATCTCAGTTGATTCGATACGCAAGAGCATACTCTACGTATTCATGAACAATTTCTAAAACGAGGTAAATCGTTGACAAACAAGTTGATAAAACAAGAATATCAGCAGCCTCCTTTAAAGTCATCATTTCGTAAGTTCTATGGTTGATACAATGACCTTGTCAGCAAATGCAATTTATCATTGAGTCATTTGCTAACAGACGTTTTTCGTACTAATTGTTAGTCCATTATTTACACACTGAATTGACGACGGAATTTTTCGTTATTTCCCGATCATGACAAGGAGCACACGACGGTTGGAACCTGTCGACAGGGGATGCTCACTCCTCCATGATCCCAACTCTAATGTTTTAGAGGTCCTTGTATGCTCTGCTCCTGATTTGCATTGTTTGAATGGAATTTTAAGCTTGAATACTGTTCGTTAACTCCATATATTCCATGAAACGACGTTTCATTAATAGTCAACTACCTGCTCCATTGGATGTTTTGCATCGTTCTTTAATGTGCATTTAGCGGAATTTCTGTATAACGTGATTTGAACAATGCGACAGTCGTAGGTAGAAAAAATGCATCTATGAAATTAGGGATCAAACACATAATTACAATTGTGAAACTCGAACTCGTTATTTTTAAAAGGCTTTCGTATTAACCATAATGGCCTTTAATCATTATTTGATATTTGGAATAAAATGCCTATTTGAAAAAAAGAAAAGGAAAGTTTATATATGGATTTTCGACACCAGAAATTGGACTGAGATCTGTGATTATGGATATTGCAAATCACAGGGTTTTTAGACAGTCATGTTTATGAAAAAAAAAGACTTGTCAAACTACCCGTTTATTCTCACCAACAAAGCAATTGAGGTAGACAATCTTAGTTATACCCTTTTTCTCAAAAGATCCTGTTTTGAATTCTAACAATATTTAAAGCTGAAATTCACACCTTGTTTTCTTTCCAAATATACATAAACTATTTTTTCCAAACATTTTAATTACAAAAGACTAGATATTGGATTTTCTTCCCTCTTTCTAATATAATAGGCGTAGGCCTACCATTAAGTAGATTTTGACATTCGATAAGAAACAAAACACATAATCGCATACTTTCCACTCAAACAAAAAATTTCACAACTTCAATGCGCTTCAGTGTGCACGTAATTTATCAATGTCAAATGCTGACTGACGTTTATCAAACTATAATTGTCAGGCTATTTTTTTTACAAATTGAACTGTCTAAGGACTTTTCAGATAGCATGAAGTCATGGGCACACGTATGTACGTTTGACAGAAGATGCTTTCTTCACCATGACACCTGATCCCATCTCATGCTTTTAGAGGTCTGTGTCTGCTCTGCTCCTTATTTCTTTTGTTTTGATGGATATTGAGCTTACTTGCTATTTGTTTTCTCTACATGTACAGTTCATAGCTTTCCGACCGTCATATAAAGACAAGAATCTTTACACGGTGTCTGGCTCTGACAACTAATTAAATTGTATATTGTTTTTAAATTTTTCACTATATTTGCCGGTGGATATAACAGGGCCTTTGAGCAGTGAGGGATCTTGTGTGTTGCGACACGGGGTCTCGGTTTATACGGTTCATCCGGCAAGAAATGATAATTAAAATATTTTTTAAAGTCTTGTTTTTATGGATATAACAGCTGAAGTTCTTGTGTGTTGCTGAGTTCATGGCAAAAACAGATAAAAGGGAAGATAAGGATCAGTTACGCAAAACAATATCTTTACTTTCTCGATAACATATAAAACATCAAAATTCAGCTCAAGATATAGAAAAAAAACATTCAGCGCATAGAATATAACTACGAGGGTAGTTCGAAAAGTTCTGGTACAACATTATCCAAATTTGGAAGAAATGAAGCAGTATTTAATTTTTTTTTCAAAATATTACTATTTATTCAAAACCTAATTAAATATTAAAAATGCAAAAATCGGATCGCGGACCAGGTCGAAATTTATTAAGTTACAGACAATACACCATATAATGTCTGTTGTCATATTCTCTGTTAAATGGAACAAAAACGAAAAAACCTATAAATTTAGATTAAGAATTGTTCTATCGAATCTTATACCAAATTATGGCTTTATATTTTGCTTTGTCGAAAAGAAATCAACTTGAAAAGATAGGCATATTCCTTATTGAAAACGACAAAAACGATGACGTTTAAAACGTCAAGGAGCAAATATAAAAATGAAATTTTGTGTTTTAGTCAGGAAAAAATCCTTAATAAACTCAAAAAATCTTGGAGGAATCAAGAAAATATGTCACAAGCGAGTTATGCATGTGTGTACAAATAGCCCAGGCAGTATTTGAGTGACAGAGACTCTGTATCGGATCAGAGCAATATGTGAAGAAACAGTTAAATTGTAAAAGTCTGACCAAAAATTTTAAAAAGTTGGAACGTCAAGGAAACACATAGGCGCTTAAGAGTAGCTTATCCTGTGAAAGCGGAGTTAAATAATAAAAGTATTTAAAACCTTAACAAAGGAAACTATACAACGAGAGCAATTCTGAAAAAAAAATAAATGTCAAGTATTGGAAAAAGGATTTAATGAGTGGACATTGGATAATACTGTGTGAAATGGATAGGGATAGTATTTTTTTTTTTTTTTTAGAAATTCTTGACGCTGTTTCGACGTTACATTGTCACTGAGTGTGCTCCGCGGGTACCAAACATGTTGATTTTAAAATGGAGTAAATTGATTTCTGATAAATTGAATGGAATGAAACTTCACATATCAACAAAAAATATTTTTGCATATTATATTGTGCTTATTTTAAATTTCTAGTGAGTAATATAACGAAGATTGACATTGTCCACGAACTTTTCGAACAACCCTCGTATATTAAAAAAATTCCTATATACAGTACTTCAATTACTTACAACTTTTGTTCTTTTATACTTTTTCTATTTAAGTAAATTCGTCTTACATAAAATATGTTTTTCCAAAAATGGATTTTTTTTCTTCATTGGGTCTGAATCCTTGCTAAAATATCTGCTTATGCAGTATTTAACATTCAATATCAAAAAACAAAAATATGTATTCATTACATCAAACATATCAATAAGTTAAAACAAAATACATTTATGGCATTTAAGTCACAGGAACAATTTAAAATATCTACAATATAATTCTGTTTATTCTCTTTAATGTTGCAGTTCGTAATTTATAAAATGGACATTGTCGTAATAGATAGTAGGAGCAGCCTAGAGGTCCCTTGTAAGCTGTTGACAGAATCCCAGCTATTTTCTATCATGATACAGTGTCGAGAACTTCTTAACTACACTTATCCGGAAATAAGTCTGTAGATCAAAATTATAATTCGTATTAGTGTAGCATTTTTTATGTTATTCACTGGAAGTTGTTTGAGCGATTGTTGGTAGGAATATAGAGCATCCTGAAGATGTTCTGTGATCTGTTGACAAATTCCTAGGATCTGCCATGATATGTCTCTGAGTACTGGGGGTATATGTGTCCCCTGGTCATCGTGAACTAGGGCCCGTAGATCATTTAGAGCTTTTTGAGTACGTACAGTGTCAAGGTGTCTGTTACAAAGGAGCTCTAGCATAAGAGACAGGACGAGAGGTGGGATAAATATCTGTTCCTCTCCATTCAAAAAAGCAGACAGCTGTTCAAGTACTAACTCATTGATATAAGCTGTATCAAAGAAAAGTTGGACTTTGTTTGCTACAACTTTCCTAAATTTTGTAGATAATGACCTTCCGCCTACAGCCTCCATATAACTATCTGGGTCAATGTTAAACATGAACATGGGAAACGGCTTTGATACTTTGAATTTTGCCATCTTTATAATAGATAATGCTTTACTGTATCTGCATGTTTGGTAGTAATACATGGCAAGGTACAATTTGGCAGAAATACTTCCAAACTTGGAGGCTAATTTCAGCATGCGACAGGAAATCTTATCGGAGATGTATATTGCTTTGTTTTTGTTAACTTCAGTATGAATTTTGTAGCTCGTATACATATATATCAAGAATATATATATGGAGGCTGAAGGATTTCTGATGCATATTTTTGTAGCATGACAAGGTGGTAATTTGAGAGGGGGAAACTCATCATTTTTTCTATCTGGTACAAGACTCGTCTGTGACCGCCAAAATCATTATGAAGTGATGAGCGATCATTTTTTTCTATCTCAAAGAATAGTTCTTTATCAAAGTCAGCTTCAGAGATCAAAAAGCTTTCATCAATACCATGCAAGAGAGTGGACATATGATTTATTTTTACGATAAAGGACCTAATGGATGGGCTCAGTAGCAGGCAGGATAGACCCTTTTCGTATAATGTAAACAACTGTGTCAATAACATTACTTGTGAATGTCCATAGATTTTAGTCAAAAACATGTTGTTTTCTGGAATAAAAAAGTTTGGACACACTCCCTCATACACCCACATAAGAAAAAGTTTAAAGCAGACCCAGAAACACTCCAGGAGATTTTGTGGGCTCAATTGTGACATAATGTTTTCTTGCAGCATCCAGAAAATAGCTGTCTTCACGTGGTAGGAACACAATAATTTACTTTCATCGTTTAATTCAAAGTTTATGACTTCATTTAAAAACAGTTTCAGCAAGCCATAAGTTAAAAATTGGCAATGATTCATCGTATAGACGAGCTTTTTTTCTGCCTTCCAAAAGGATATCCTCCATTCATCGTCTTGTTGATTTCCTAGACGACGTCCTACTGCTACGACATGGCATCCACTAGTGATGATGCCATGAACAACACGAGGGTTTGGCCACGTGTGCCTGTGACATCTTTCAATCCATGTAGAGGCAGATGGAGGCCAAAAGTCAACAGCAAAACTGTAGACATGATCAAATTCCAAATCCTTGGAAACATGAAGACTACATGGTCCATGTATCACAGAATCAGATATCTCCAATGAAGACATGTACTCTTGGTGTAAACACCTAGATATATAATACTTATTATTCATTCTTATACAATAGGGGGCAATATTAATGGATAACCATTTATTAAGTTCTGGTAAGCAGAGTAAAGTGTAGCCTGGTCGGCTATCTGAAGTGTCTGCAAGAATTAGCCAACATTTTTTAAAGTTGTAATAGTGGGTCTGAGATAAATCCCAAATCACTCGAGGTTTATTTGGCCAACATCATATCCACATCGGAATCCTTCAGCCTGAATCCTTCGCCGGTGCTTCCACTTATGCAAGATGACACAACAATATCCCTGGTATGATTGTCCATTATATTGGCGATATCCAGGAGATCTCTCCTCATCGCCACCTGGTGTGGGGATCCCACTATCTTATGCAGAGCCCAATATACAGACTCTGAAAAGTGTTGTCTGCTTCTCTCACTGATAAAAATTGAAATACGTTCATTATATGAATTTTATCATACATTTCAAATAAAACGCACTTGGTATTTCACCAATATATTTTGTTTTGTCTCACCTGTTCGAGGTATTGGACGCCATTTTCCTTTTGAAATTGTTTAGATTTTTTAATGTCTATATTTAGAAAGCTTGAATTCTACTTTCATTATAGATTTAACTTTGAAAAGTTTAATTTTTTACATTATTGAAATACTAATATGAAGTATAATGTAATGATATTTTTTAAAATTACATACAGACTGCTTTTGATGTTAACAATATGTATTTAAATTAAAAAACCGAAATCCATATCTTACTAATGTGTTTCATATCTTTAAAGGAACAGAAATTTATTGAGGCATTTAATGTATGTACTTGATATGCATTGTGACTTTTTTTCTGACAATATGAAAAACACTTTATTTTAGGTTTTAATGTTAAATTTCATCAGCTTAATAAATGGTTAGTTTACTTAAGAGTTTTAGTTTAGCTAGCAGGCAAAGGTTCAAGTAGATTTCTCTCATTAAAATTTGTTTATCCAGATGTCCATATGTCTCTCTTTAAACTTAATATTAAACATATTTGCATTTTCCAAAAACTACTGCGCACATTTTAAGCGAAATTCATCTTCTTATAAAAATTATTTATATCAACATTTTATGGACTCCTATACATGTTATAAAATATTGCAAAAAATGCACAGAGACTCAATTCTTCTAAGAACAATATATTAAAGATACATCATAAGATATTGAAAATACATCACACAATCATCAAACATACATCACAAGATTATCAAACATACATTATCAAACAAACATCACAAGACTATAAAACATATATCACAGGATATTTGACATACATCACAATATTATCCAATGCAAGAACGTTAAACATAGTTTATGTAGGAAGAAAAATTACAAAACTTGATACTTGTCTGTTTTAGCACTGCAGATGCTTTACTGAGAGGGGCATTTCATTTGACAGTTTCTCTATTTTAATTTGTTCATCAAAATTCCATAAGAAACAAGTATACTACTTTTACCCTAGTACTTATCTTTGTCTAATTGCTTGCAAAATTTCAATGCCCAAACAGAAAAGACTTTCGTGCGTGATTAATTCTGTTCTCCGGGTTTGTTTCAGTAGAAGTTCTGGAAATCTGTACAATTGGAAACTGAATTGCATAAAATCATAACATATGTGGAGAAAACGATCAGTATTCAAGGTAACAAGTCCATTAGACAATAGAAAATAGGAGCAGAGTAAACAACGGATCCCCAAAACATCAGAGATGGGATCAGGTGCATGGAGGAGTGAGCATCCCCTGCTGACGGTCACACCCGCCATGTGCTCTTTGTCATGATCGGAAAATAACAGAAAGCTAAAACGAGGTAAAGTGTTGACAAAAAAGTTGATGAAACAGGAATATCAGCAGTTTCATTTAAAGTCATCCTTTCGTAAGTTCTTTTGGTCGATACATTGGCCTTGTCAGCAAAAACAACTTATTATTGAGTCAAATGCTGACTGCCGTTTTTCAAACTTTATGTCAGGCCAATGATAACATACTAAATTGTCAACGTTTTTCGTTGTTTCCCAATAATGAAAAGGAGCATACAGCGGGTTTGGCTGTTCTGCAGGGTATGCTCACTCCTCTATTGCACTTGACCCCACCTCTGATGTTTTGGACGTCCATATTTGCTCAGCTCCTATTGTTTCATTGACTTTTGAGCTTGCATTATGTACGCTATCTTCATTTATTTTATTATTTTAAATGTTTTGAAAAGCATCGAACAGCCTGTTAATGTTCAGCAAAAATGTTCCCTAAGTGTTTTCAATTGAATATTAGTATTAACATTCTGAAGTAAATTTACCGCTGGAAACGTTCTTCCCTAAATAAAATTTAAAAAAGAAAGAAATACAACCGCTTTACCTCCAGTGTAACTGCTGGAAGAGAGGTGCTGGGGACAAATGTAGAACATACCGAATCTTCTTCCCCAGGCTGTCTGACCTTAGAGTCACTTGACTCCCGGTGCTTATGTTCCTGTAAAATTCCCAGAGATGTTTTAAAATTTAGCCTTAATTTTAAAATTAAAAGACTGTAACAAATCCATATTTTAATGATATTTGTTAATTTGATCTCAAATACACAGACTTTCTATCAATCATATCGCAGTGTATTACATTTTCTTGTCTGAAGTTGTCCGACTTTTCCGAGGAAATTGTGGAGCAGCCTGATGTCTCTAATATCTCAGAAACGTTTCCGCCTGCTGGGTTAGTTTCCTAAAAAAGAAGAAAAAATAGAATACATTTGATTTTGTATTATTGACCTGCTATGGAGCGTATCCTTTATCGAATAGTTTGTTAAAATCTTTTCTTCAAACATACTAATGAATATAATTCTTTCATTTTCTAACATATAAATTCTTTAAAAGTGAATAATGAAATATGTGAAATGATTCACCTCGTTTAAGAAATGGTACATGAAGAGCATGCTCTTTCGTATCGAATCACCCGAGAGATATAAAGCTTGTATGCAGGTGATGAAGGTATATTGCCTCATAAGTAAGGGAAGTTGTCGATTGAAAAGTTAAAGTCGTCACATTCAACATAAAGCTTTGGTGTGAGATAACCATAAATGAACAGTGATTGATCTAAAAAAATTATAAACATACAAAAAAGTAATGAGGGCATGAAAAAAGATCCTTGAAAATTCTATAGGTGGGATTAGTTATTTTAATGCAAGTTCCTAAAAATAAAAATTATATCTATATCGTTTATAAATCATTGTTACCGTAGCTTTTACCACAGGATCGACATCTAAAGTATTCGGATTGAACTTCGTAGATTTACGGTAGTTGATGTCCATGAATTGAACTCCATCGGTCTCTGAGAGGAAGTCCGACTCTAATGTAGACTTATCCCCAGGTCGCCTGTATAATAAATAGTGTGA